GCCGGTGACGGTCTCAATTTGGAAGGTTGTAGGCGTCGGCTTTGCTGTGTTCGTTTAAAAAGCCTCTTGCAAAAACCTTGCGGAAAGTCGACCGCGGAGGAAGTGGACCGACTGGACGAATACTTGACGGCGAATGGAAAAATGACGATAGGGTGAATGAACAGAAGAGCCCACGTGTAATGGCACGGGTCATTTGGGCGAAGGTCATTGGGTCAGTGAACGCTTGAGCTGACAACTGGCGCGTGCTGAACATGTTAGCCCGTTGCCTTGAAAAGTACTCTCTCTTACTCTCTCTCTCTCTCTCTCTCTCTCTCCTCTCTCTCTCTCTCTCTCTCTCTCTCTCTCTCTCTACTCTCTCTCTCTCTCTCTCTCTCTCTCTCTCTCTCTCTCTCTCTCTCTCTCTCTCTCTCTCTCTCTCTTCCTCTCTCTCTCTCTCTCTATCTCTCTCTCTCTCTCTCTCTCTCTCTCTCTCTCTCTCTCTCTCTCTCTCTATCTCTCTCTATCTCTCTCTCTCTCTCGCTCTCTCTCTCATCTCTCTCTCTCTCTCTCTCTCTCTCTCTCTCTCTCTCTCTCTCTCTCTCTCTCTCTCTCTCTCCTATCTTCTCTCTCTCTCTCTCTCTCTCTCCTCTATCTCTCTCTCTCTCTCTCTCTCTCTCTCTCTCTCTCTCTCTCTCTCTCTCCTCTCTCTCTCTCTCGCTCTCTCTCTCTCTCTCTCTCTATCTCTCTCTCTCTCTCTCTCTCTCTTCTCTCTCTCTCTCTCTCTCTCTCTCCTCTCTCTCTCTCCTCTATCTCTCTCTCTCTCTCTCTCTCGCTCTCTCTCTCTCTCTCCTATCTCTCTATCATCCCTTTCCTTGCTTCTCCTTTTTAATCAACCCTGGCTGTTCCCTGCCTCACTTCCCCTTTCTTTCTCTCATCACATCGTTCTCCTTATCATTCTTTTCCTTTCCCATCCGCACTACTCACCTTTTACCCGTTTGTGGCTGTCTGCTTCCCTTCTTTCTCTCATCACCTCACCCTCCTTATCACTCCCTACCTTTTCCGCCCTCACCCCTCACCTTAGACAGGATGCCCTGCAGCTGGCTGTAGCGGTCCGCTGAACTCAGCTCCGACCTCGTCTGCCGTGACGTCATCAGAGTCCTCTCCGGCCGTGTCATCAGCGGCGCCGCGGCGGCCGCCGACCAGCGCGCGGCGGTCACCTGCGTCCGGTTTCGCGTGAGCAGCGTGAGGAGCCGGCCGGCGGTGAGCGCTGGGTGCTCGCTGCGGTCCTGCTCCATTCTCTTGCCGTACCAGGGCTGGGTGCCGATCGGCAGGCGGCGAGACGTCCTCGGCAGGCCGACAGTCGCGCTGGCGGTCACGGGTGCCGTGTCGACGCGCCGCTGTCCCAGTGACGTCAGAGCGCCGACGCGCCGCTGCACGTCCTGGGTGGCGCTGACGAGACGCGCGCCACGACGGAGGTGGCGCTGGCGCGGCGGCGCGGCGCCGGTCAGCCGCCGCCGCAGCCGCGCCAGGCGCGCGCGCAAGCGCCAGCGGGACGAGCCAGGCGGACAGGCGCGCGCGGCGGCGCGGGGGGGCTGGCCTGACCTCGCCGACCTCGCGCGGGGCCGCGCCTGGGTCGCGCCCGAGCGCGCCCGCCGCGGGCCGTGACCCGCGCCCCAGCCGGCGGCCGGCAGGCGAGGACGGAAGCGAGGCGACCGGAGCGCCTTGGGGAGCGGCGGGACGGCGTTCGTGGCCGGAGGAAGGTGAAGACGTTGCCTTGTCGCCGCGTAATGCCGCCGCCGCGGTGGGGGTCGGCCGGGGCCTCGCCTGGTGCTCTGGGCGGCTGTGCTGGGTGCTGGCCCAGCCAACCTCTGAGCTGGCCGCTGGGCGCTGGTTTCCTCCGCTCTGCCCCACGCTGGGCGACCGGCCAGGTGAAGCCGTTGGCTTGAGTACGACCAGCGGACGTCGGCATCGAGCTGGTCCAGAGTGGGTCCGACTCCGGCGCTGCGCCCTGACCTAAGCTGACCTCTGACCCCGGCACTGGGAGAGAGCTGGAACTGACCGGTGACGCGGAGCTAGCGCCGGAAAATGCGAGTTCTCCTGGACCGGCCTCTGCAACGGCGGCTGCAGAAGCGCTGCCGTTCGCAGCTGCGAGGGAGTTGACACCTGTACCTTGGCCCTCCTTTCTTCCGTCTGTGAGGTGATGAGACTTTTTGGAGGTTTCCACACTTGAAGCCTCGTCAGTTCGAGCTCCTTCCCCCGCGGGCGGTCGCGGCAGAACGGGGGCCTGTGCGGGCAAGGCCGTCACATTTCTCCGGCTCGTCTGCCTCCTCGAGGAGTCCTTCGTCCCTCCTGCATCACCGGGCTGGAGCGGGGACAACCCTGCGAGCTGTAGATCATCTAGTCGAATCGTGCGTGGCGTTTGCCGGTAGAGTCGTGCCCGTCTCGGGTTTTGTCCAGCAGGTGTCAGCTGATGCGAGGACAGTGGGCGCCGCTGATGGGGTGCTGGTGACTCTTGCTGACGGGGTGTCATGGGGGTGTGCCGATGTGACGTCTGGGTCAGATGTCGGAGCGATGTCTGGTGCGACTGCCGGTGGGATGCCAGGGCCGGTTGCCGGTGTGAGCCCTGCTCCTTATGATGTCGCTGCCCAACAATCTGATGGCTGAACGGGTCGCTGGCCTTCTCGAGAGTCTCCTCCGCCTTCTCTTCCACGTCATCTCTCCCCCCAGCCGGGGCGCTTCGTCTGGGTACCGCCGGCTCTATCCAGTGCACGTTGCTCTGGCTGGTGGGCCCACCGGCCTCCTCCCAGCGGCGCGGGGGCACCGCGGCCGCCCCGGCGGAGGGTGCCCCGAGCCGGGGGTCGTGGTAGACGTAGAAATTCAGCAGCCGCACTGAGCGGCCCGGGCTGGCTGTGGCGACCGCCACTAGGAGCAGGAGCAGCGCGCCGCGCAGAGGTGGAGGTGCCGGCATGGCGAGGTGGGCAGGGGGCCGCGGGAGCGAGCCGCGAGAGGGAAGGCGAAGTGGAGGAGGGAGCCACGAGAGGGAGGGCGAGGTGGGAGAGGGAGCCGCGAGAGGGAAGGCGAGGTGGGGGAGGGATCCTCGGGCACTGCTGTGCCTCCGAGCTCTGACGATGATGACCGACGGAGGCGGCGCTTCGCAAGAGCTTGAGTAAGGTCCTGGAGTGGGACGGGGTCAAACCATCGCAGGAGCAGGAGACGGGCCTCAAGGGCGCTGATCACGAGGTCGCACGGGAGCCAGAGCCTCGCGTCCCAGAGTCCACGTCACGCGGCGACCGGCGCTGGAGTCCACGGAGCCCAGCCACAAACCCGCCGTGACGGAGACGGGCTCGCGCGAGACCACAGCCGGCGTCGTGTGGGGGTCAGACTCGGAGCTCAGCGAAGCCAGATGGAGTCAGCCAGACGTCTCAGCGCCGGGTGGAGCCGACGCCGCACGGGGGCTGGAGTCGGAGCCTCGCGGGAGCCGGACGGCGTGCACCGCAGCCTGCTCTCGACGCAGCACTGGCGGCGCCCGCCGCCGCCCGGTCGGCACCGCCGTCCACCGGCATGAGTTATGCTTACCGTCGTGCGGGCATAACTCACTCGAGTGTCCATCACCGGCCGCTTAATCACACCGCTGCCCAGGCGCCGGCCCTAAATCACGTTGACAACAATGCGACGGGAGCGTGGCGCGGAGCGACGGCGGGCAGCCGCGGAGGGCAGCGATTTACTGCCCGTCTGCGGTCGGCACCGGACGTGCGTCGCTTCCGGTTCCCACGGTGGGCGGCGCCGGCACGCGGCTCGTAACCGGGTGTGGCGAGCAGCTGTTCGACCGAGGTGGTCAGCGCAGCGCGGTGTAATGGCATACAGATCGTCCGGTAACGGAAATGTGCGTCCAAATCGTAAAAAATGTGGATCAGTCCAAAAGATGCGTATCAACACGAATAAGCATGCAGCCCTAGCTTTACGTTGGCGTAGTTAGCGTAGTTACGTAGTGTTAGGATGCATATATTATATATATATATATATATATATATATATATATATATATATATATATATCCTAATGCTGGGATGAACGCCCGTAATTATAAGATGATCCTTTGATGCCTGTGTGACCCATCTCGAAGAACTCTATCGATGTCCCCAGCGTGTCCAGATATCCCCAGATCCCGAAATATAGATCCGAGCTTGGGTTCTTCATCTGGGTCACGATCCTGAGCTGAGATATACACATAAGATTGGTCTGGAAGCAAGACCAGCTTCGGCGTGTCGACACAGCCGGGGGTACTTTTCACTACACTGCCGCTATGCGTTTGAGAATGTTATTATGCGTTTGAGAATGCTGCATCCGCACGTGGCCAACTCGCTGAGCCGTGGCACACGAAGGCAAAGTCCTGGGGTGTATGTGCTGTGTGTGGTGCGGCAATGCACTGCATGCGTTGGCACCAGGGGAGTTTGTAAAACGAGGGCACACACACGCGATTGTCTTTTCATTGGCGGCCTTACGTGCTATGCATAGCATATGGAAGCACTGTCAGAATGGTACACGCTGGCTGTAGTTCCGTGCTAAAATCCCTCTGTTTGTGTGCACAACACTTGTGCCAGATGAGTGCTGGTGGATATTTCACTCAAGGTATCTCGGTGCTCCGCCGTGGCAAAATATTTCGTATAAATACCCAAACGGGCTAATAAGCGGGAGCATATATTCGTAATAATCCCATGGTGCCAGCCTTTTGACCGATATTCTGGCCACCATTTCTCTCGCCGTTTCTTTCCAACCTGCCGCACGGAACATGTATATTCCATTCCTGCGGCAGCCGTCTCGCATTTCGATCCCCAGATCTTCCGCTGGACCAGGTCTGGAAGGAACAGCAGTGACGGGGTGAGGGGAGGGGGCAGGTGATGGTGACTGGACGGCGTTGACTCACCGCGGATGTGGGGCAACTGCTCCGGAGACTATCTGCCGCACGTCCTGGCCCGGTCCGCCCGCCCGGCTCCGGGGCTCCAGTGAAGGGGCTCCGGCTAAGGGGCTCAGTGAGGCCGAGCCGCTCCCCGTGCGCGCAGAAACGCGGCGCGTGTGTGCGACGGTCAGTCGGCAATGCTGGAGATGGCCTGCGTTGCTGGAAATAGTGCGAAGACTCCAGGCCATCGCCAGCTGCTCAACCTGGGAGCGGACGCCCGCACAGTACGTGTCAGCGAGCAGCCAGAGGGCTAAGGTCACCAGTGAACGGACACCGAGAGGCTCCTGAGAGAGACACCGAGAGACATCCCGGACTCCTGCCATGCCGCGTGCGCACAGCGCCACGCTCAGCCAGCTGATGTTTGCCGCGGTAGCGTTCATCGCCGCCGGCCAGTGCAGTGGGGAGCCGCGGGCTTGCGGTTATGCGTGCTGCACATTCCTCCCCGACTGTACGAGCCCTGTCTCCATGAACTGCGACTGCGGTGGCCTGTACGGGCTGCAGGTAGGCTCTTGTTGTTGCCAGTCCACTTCATGCTTTGTTCTGTGACTTCCTGAGAACCTGAGAGTTGGTTTGCGATGCGCCAGCGGAATGTTCTGCTCGTATTTTGCACTGAATGCACCAACAGGACCTTCATCGGCCGGGATGCAGCAAGAGGTCAGGGCAAGAGATGGAACAAGAAATGAATGCTAGAGATCTCCATACGGAGCCAATGCTCGGAGCCTTGCGGTTTCTATATCGATTTGTGGTGGCCATAGTATGAAAAATGTTAATATTCTCTCACCCTCCCTCTCCATTCCTCTCCTCCAACTCCTCTTCCCCCTTTCTCTCTCTCTCGTACCCCTCCCTATTCCTCCTCCTCATGTTTCTATCCTCATCCCTTTTCTCTCCTCCTCCCCCCTCTCTCTCCCTCTCCCTTTCTCTCTCCCTTTCTCTCTCTCTCTCTCTCTCTCTCTCTCTCTCTCTCTCTCTCTCTCTCTCTCTCTCTCTCTCTCTCTCTCTCTCTCTCTCTCTCTCTCTCTCTCTCTCTCTCTCTCTCTCTCTCTCTCTCTCTCTCTCTCTCTCTCTCTCTCTCTCTCTCTCTCTCTCTCTCTCTCTCTCTCTCTCTCTCTCTCTCTCTCTCTCTCTCTCTCTCTCTCTCTCTCTCTCTCTCTCTCTCTCTCTCTCTCTCTCTCTCTCTCTCTCTCTCTCTCCTCTCTTTCTCTCTCTCTCTCTCTCTCTCTCTCTCTCTCTCTCTCTCTCTCTCTCTCTCTCTCTCTCTCTCTCTCTCTCTCTCTCTCTCTCTCTCTCTCTCTCTCTCTCTCTCTCTCTCTCTCTCTCTCTCTCTCTCTCTCTTTCAAGCGCTTTCACTTTGAAATCTGGAACCTTCGGAACCTGTTTGAGACAGAATGCTGCTACGTCCATCTCAAGCTTTTCGTTTGTATGCGTTCATTTACAGGAGAGTTCGATAATTGCAAACATTGATGACTTCCTTCCAAGTTTCAGCAAAAGCGAAGCTATATCTGCAGTATGCTTTCTGCTCATGGTACTTAGCTCACGATGCTTCTTTAAAGCTTGCCACTAAAAAATGCTGTCATACTTTATTTCAATGAAAAACAGAACGTCAAAATTTACAACAGGGTGCACACCATATTTGGATTTCAGACCAAACATGTTTTTAAAGCTTTAGTTCATCTCGGGCAGCTACTCTCATGTCGGTATTCATCTACTGCAATTGCATGCTGCGTGTCATTGAGCCTCTGAAATGGAATGGAATGGAATGGAATGGAATGGAATGAAATAGAATGAATGGAATGAAATAGAATGAAATAGAATTAAATGGAATGGAATGAAATGGAATAGAACTGAAATGGAATGAAATGGAATGAAATTGAATGGAATGAGATGGAATGGGTGGAAAGGAAAGTTTTTAGCAAAACGAAGGCATTCCAACAAATGGTGACCAGTGTTTCTATCTTAATCCACCTTTGGGTCTTTCAGGACACACCGCCAGAGAAAAACACCGCCACACCTCAGCTGCTTTAAAATATCGGTTATCTGGTTATAAATCGCATAAGATCAAGTCCGAAAGTCTGAGGACCGTCCAGTCACGAGGTGCAATTTCACCTCACGTGGAATATGAACCAGGCGGTATGGCCCTCCATCAATCTTCCTGAAAATGCAGTACCAAAAATGAAAAGAACGAGCGACTCATGTTTCTCTGGATTAAAATAAAATGACAAGAAGGTCGCAAAATATACCTTGTTGAATGTCCAAAGCTGATTTTGGACATAACAAGGTCGTCTATTCTTCTTATAATGGTTGCATCTCGGCACATCTTTTTTATTTTGTTTATTTCTGTCACCAATTTCTTTCCTCACAATTTCGGTCATCCTTATCACCAATGCTGTAAAAGTACATGTTTTATGAATAAAACTAGAGAAATAGGCTCTGGCGGATGCCAGGAATTTAATCTATTTCACCGAGCGTATATACGAGCATTTGAGGTCACCCAGACATTCACGGAGTCAAACAAACGCCATGGAGATATTTCCGCCTCATTGGGCACGCAGTGCTCAAGACCAAGAACAAATGTGACGATCGAATTATTCCAGTCTGGTGCGCGTTAGCATGATTCATTGCATTAGAATTCATCTGTTGACTTTCCATCATTCTTGGTGCGTTAGGTGCAAGTTTCGAGCACAAGTCATGCCATGTGCTATATAATATAGGAATTTGGGCAGATGTTCCAGTTATAACGGAAGTAAGACTGGGAATCGAATAACTTTCAGAATAACGTCATAACGGACTATGTGCATACAAGTAAGCAATATAAAATCACGGACAAATATACAAGGACGTTACAGGAAGGGGTTAAGACAAACAAACATAGCGATATTAGGTGTTCGCCTACACGTACCAACGCGCGCTACCTCTCGGCAGGTTGACGTATTACAAGTGAGTCAGCCCGTCCGCTAAAGTGACAATCCTGGCATGGTCGTCTGGCAATGACTCTGACGTTATACAAACGGCTCCTGACATAACCAAATGATGGTGTATGGATGAGGATCTTCCGCTGTTTCAGATAAGCCGCAAAAGCATGCAGCAGTCCTTAGAAGATGTGCAGATTACGAACGCGCAGACTGTTATCATCAAGACAGGAGCAATCTTCGATTTACTGTCGCTGAAAACGTTTAAGATGATAGACATTGCATATCTGACTGTTGAAAACGAGGGTCTCAAGTTACAGGATGGTGCCAACCTGCGTGAACTGCGAATTCACCACGTGAATACTCTGAAACTGCTTGACACGGCGCTGTCCGGCTACTGGCACCATGATGTGCGCGTATCTATACAGCACGTCGTTAAACTTAACATGTATGAAGCGGCCTTCTTTTTCACGTCGGCCCCGCCCGGGCCGAGTGTTGAGCTGAAGAACGTCAGGGAGTTGCTGGCTTCACGAAACGCATTCACAGCAGCCATCCGCCAGCTGTCTGTAGTGAACGTCTCCATGCGGTGGTGCTCACAGAGGTGCTTCAGTGGACGTGTTTCTCATTTGGAGCTGATTGGTGTGAGGATCACCACAGCATTGACCCAGTGCGTAAATGGCGGGGAGGGCTGGGAAAAACTGACAATTCTTCACTCCGAGGTGTTACAAGTACACACTGACGCGCTTTACGGCGGCATCCGAGAAGTTATCATCAACTCTACGAATATCACAAGGGTTGAGGCCCTGGGCTTTCACCTGAATGTTACAACTCTGCAGATACATGCTTCGGCATTTCAGAACCTAACAAGCCATGGGCTTGATGTTTTGGCGACTAAATCATTCCTCATGAAGAACACGACTGTTGGCACTCTCCAAACATCCGCGCTGACGGGCGTGCGTGTCGCGAACATCTCTTCTAGTGAGCCCTCATTTGCTCTCTATTCGCGAGGTACGCATCGGACAAGCGAAACGCGGGTCATTGGTGTTCGCAACAGGCACACAAGTTTGCATTGAAGATCTCCACATCGACGGCACCGCTGACTCTGACGTCACGTGTCCGGCGGCGAAGTGGACCCGGTGGCTGGTGGCCGCGGGCGTGGCTGGCCCGCTCAGCCAGGCGCAGCGCCAGGTGCTGCGACAGCTCCAGCGCAGGAGCCGCTGTCCCGCCGACGCCAGGGGTCCCCACGGGGCCGGAGAGGCCGGCGACCAGCGCCAGGAGGCCGGAGATGTGATCGGCTGGGACCAGCTGGTGCTGTACTGCTGCCTGGGAGCGCTGCTGGTGCTGGCGGCGCTGGCGGCGGCGCTGGTCGTCCGGCGGCGCAGGCTTCGCGTCTCGCGGCCCTCGCCCGAGGCCCTCCCACTCCGCACGTGGTCAGCTGACAGCTGCGGTCCAGGGCGCGGCCGATTGAAGTGGCACCAGGGGGCAGATGGCGCCAGCGGCGCGGCGGCGGAGGAGCCCCTGTATGCCGAGATCGAGATGACCTGCTCGCCGTCGCCCGCCGCCGGCTCCTCGCGCAGAGGGGACGACTGGTGGTGTCCCAGCGCTCCCAGAAAGCACGGTTTCGGCGGGGCGCTTGAAGACCGGGCTGCCCGAGGTGGACTTAGTGGACAGCGAGCTGTCCGAGGTGGACTTGGTGGACAACGAGCTGTATGGAATAACCCTGGTGGACAACGAGCTTTACGAGAGGGGCTCGGCGGTGGCGCGGCGGGGCTGCGCGGACGGTGCTGACGGCGCCAGCGGATGTCGAGATTAACCGGCTGTGTATGGTGTGACAAAGTGATAACGACGCCGCCTGACTAATGCGGTGAGGACGCTCGGTGCGTTTTTCAGCTGATGTTGCGTTGGACAGAAGATGTGCACGTGTTTTTGCTTTGCACAGTCGTTATATCCATCGAGTGGTTGATGTCGACATATGGGCGGTTTATACACATGCTTTAACAGGTAGGCAACAGTGCATTGCATTGACGTAGGCGAATGGAATAACAGAATATATATATATATATATATATATATATATATATATATATATATATATATATATATGTGTGTGTGTGTGTGTGTGTGTGTGTGTCTATGTGTAATGCAATATTTTGTTTTTCCGCTGTTGTGTGTTAGGTCTGTGAGTGTTGGCTTGACAATAAAAAAATGAGCAAAGGTTGAGCCCGTTGTCTTTTCTCCTACCCTAGAGTCTCCTCGAGTTCCACCATAGCATGTTGCACGACTGCAAATTGCTGCAAATGAAAGACCTTGTTCATTTGCGCTTTTTCTAACGCAAGCTGATATCTGGAACATGCCAGTGTTCAACAAGCTGTTCATTTTTGCTTTTTCAGATGTGCAAGATATCATTATTGGTATGTCGTTTTATTCCGTGTGTTCTTACTACGTACGCTCGAAATTCTTAGCGGCAAACACCTCGACGCTTAGCGTTGCAGTCTCCATACGCTGCTTGACGTCTGCCCCGTGGCTGTTGCTGACGGTAATCAACGGGTGGACAAAATCTGGTTGAACTAGAAGGGTAAAGGTAGAATCTCTTGTTTTTGTGCTGCCGTAACTGTTAATATATCAGAACATCCTCGAAATTTTCGAAAAGATAACTCCCAGCCTAACCTTTGTGAGCGGCACGGATTAAACAAAAAACACTTTGAAAAGCCTTGTTTCGCGACGGACGTCCTCGCTCCAGCAGTGCCCATCGTCTGGCATTACTTGCAGTGGCCAACACCGTTCGGTTTTAGGGAAATGGCAACCCCGGCCATCACTGCTCTTCTTTCTGAGATTGGGAGCATGCAGACTCAAAACTTTGTGATGCAATTTGTCGATTCTGCCAAGGAATGAACGTTCTCAGGCAAATATGGGTTTGCCTTTTTCGTTTTGGAACGCATTTCGACTCACTCTTTTCAACACTTATGAGATCCCTTGCATTTTCCAGGCAAGGGGCCCCTTGATTAGAACACTACACATTATCATTATGCATCAATCAAGCAATCAATCTGCACATTATCAATGTGCATATATGCACTTATCGTTCTCGGTCTAGTGCGGAAAGGCTATTCCGTGCCAGCGCGGGGTGCCGCCCAGCTGCCATCCTGGTGACACGGGGCGGAGTCCCGTGGTCGATCCGGAGGCGCTTAGAAGAAGGCTTTATACCACACTGACACCCCTCCTGGCGAGGGAGGCCTTCTGACCAATGCGGTTGGCTCCAAACCGAGGCAGGAACTCCCAATGACGTCACAAGATCCCTGATTGCCGCAGGTGGTCCATTCACTGGCACATAGACACAGTCCGACGGCCCCATGGTGGGAATCGGGATGGAGGGCTCCCCGTTCGGTACAAGGGGGGCCTGTTTGGTACAGACACCTTTCATTTTCTCAATATAAACTCGCATCGTAAGCTCTCGAATTTCCTTTCTTTGCCTGCGGGTCCTGATCAACGCCATTCGAGGTCCCGGTCATTCGGTCCTCTGGCATTCGAGGTCCCGTCCCCGTCCCTGCTCAACAAATTTTCTCCTAACCGACTCGAGACCCTTATTGAGACAGGACACCGTCAGGCACTGTGGAATCCTGACCGACGCGGAAGCTCCCGCACTGTTGCAGGGGCACAGGCCAATGTGAATCGCGTGCTCAGGCTCGTCCCCGCTTGGAAATTGGCCCCCAGAGCTCAGACCGACGCGGAAACGACTGTTTGGTATTGGTGGCCTCTGACCGACGTAGAGACACACGCTGCCCAACGGGTTCACTCTGACTGATATTTGAAGTCAAGGTCCTACGAGCGGGGCCCTCATTGTGACCCATAGCTAGTCCTTCGAGTCCTTCGGTCCCTTCAGACCTCCAACCGAGTCCTTGATCTTTTGTCCAGACGGGGTCTTCAGCTCCTCTTTGGGCTTCCTCAAACAAAGCTGTGACCGACTCGGGGTCACTCAATGACACGTGATCCCCTGGTAGGCACCGTGGGTCCTTCATCAACACAGGGGCCCCGATGATAGTTTCAGGGGCCCAGACCACCGCAAATCGCGGGTCCCAGCCTCGGCCCTGTCTGGGGATGTCTGTCTCATGGTTCACACCCGGCACGTAGCCAACTGTTTGGTGTTAGTGGTCTCTGATCGACATAGACGCCCACGTTGTCGCAGTGGGTTCTCAATCAACCGGTGCAAACTTGCCCAACAGTTCAGGAACGTAGCCAACTGTTTGGTGTTAGTGGTCTCGGACCGACATAGACGCCCGCGTTGTTTCAGTGGGTTCTCAATCAACCGGTCCAAGAACCCCTCTGGCTGATATTTTAGGTTACGGTCCTATTAGCCGGCATTCTTTATGTAACCTACCGTGTGACCTTTACGTGACCCTTCGGGACCTTATGCCCTCCAATTGGACCTTTATCGTCGATTTCGGTGCCCCCCTCGCCCCTCCTCAGGCCTCATTGAACAATGCCCTTGGTCGACCGTGGCCCCTTGTTAACACAAAACCCCCTGCTAGTCACAATGAGTCCTCTGCCTGCAGGACCCTAACAGATACAGGGGCCCCAACCAGTATAAATCACTGGCCCCAGCTTTATCGCTGCTTGGAAAGTGGGCCCTCAGATCCATACAGACACGGAACCGGCTGTGCGATACTGGTGTTGCCTGCCCAACATATAGACCCTTATCGACTCAGGGGTATCCGTTCGGCGCGAAGAACCCTTTAACAGCCATCTGAAGGCCGGTGCCCGCAGACTGTGGCCCCCAGTGAGACTGCAGCCAGTCCTTCGTGCCCTTAGGCCCCCAATTAGGCCCTTTATCGTTGGTCCCGTGAGGCCCTCCAGGCTCGTCGGGTCCCGTGAGGCCCTCCAGGCTCGTCAGGCCCCGTCAGGCCCTCAAACGTCCTCAAGACTCGGACCCCGTGTGTGGTTACGAGGGACCGAGGCCCTCCTCTTCATATCAAACAAAGAGATCACACGCCAGGACCGGTCCGTATTAGGGCGCGCCCCGGGTCACGGCCCCAGTCACCCGGAGGCGTCCGCCCCTCGCTCAGCTGTCGGTCAGGTATTTTGAGAGCCAGCCGCACCGACGGCTGCTTCGCCTGCCACGAACGCTGCGCGAGACTGAGAACTTAGACCAAAACTCCCCGCCCTGTCGCACATATCGTTTTTGTTCCTCGTCGACAAGTCCCAACGCGGGACCCCTATTGGGCACTGTGGGCCCCTGACAGAGGCTGGGGCCACAACAAATGTAAATTGTTGGCTTTGCCCCTGCTTGGAAAATGGGCACTCAGACCCACGTCGCAGGCAGCCGACTGTGCGTTACTGGTGGTGTCTGACCTGCATATATGCCCTTATGGACTCGGGGTCCCCTTGACCAGCGCGCAGGAATCTCTAATTGGTAATAAAGTGCCCGGCCTTGCGGGTCCGGGCCCCTGAACATGACCTCCGGCCGGCCTCTAGGGCCCTCAAATTGGGCCCTAAATCGTCGGTTCCGAGAGGTCCTTCGGGCCCCGAAACGTTAGAAGGGAGAGAGGACGCGTGCCGCCTGTGCCCCTCTGCCTGCGCCATTGGTGGGACCCTCTACTGGATACAGAACAGTCGGCTCATACCGACACGGGACCGCCTGTTCAGTACAGGCGGTACCTGTCTGGCAAAGAGGCCTTCATCGACTCAGGGTTCCCAAGTCGTCGCAAAGGACCCTTTGGTGGACATTTGAGCGCTGCTTTAAGAATTGTTGATATTCGTCACAACCTATCACATTGCGATATTTGCTATCGATAAAGTAATCAATTAATGCTCATCGTGCGTACCCAAATACAACTTGCGTACGCAATGCGTCATGAGACAGACCATATTGCACATTCAGTAGTTAGTGTGTGAGATAGGGAGTTCATCTTCAAATCTACTCAGCAATCTGTTCTTAGTGGCAACTGACAGACTAATGATATATCGAATAAAAGGCGGTCGTGCTCACGTCACATGAAACAGTGCTTCACGAGCGTATCTATGCAGTAAACCAACTGCACACAATTTTAATGGATCCTTGTTTCCAGCGCAAAAGAGTCATGAAATGGCGCTGCCGAATCTGACGAAAATCCGCGGGGATGCACGTGTGCCTGTGCTTGATGTGGCGGTGTCCCGGGTGATGTGTGTGCATGACCGGTTCTAACAGGAAGAAGAGAGGGGCGGTTGCGGAAGGTCTGTTGTTTATCCCGTGATGATCTTGGGGAGTAATTCCTCGTGTTTGAGGAACGCTTTTTGTAGCTGGTATTCTTGTAACCTTCAGCAATGTTTGCCGTGCAGGTGGAGGCATAGTGGCCCAACCTTCAAACCGTGGCAAGCACGTCAACGAGGTGTTTGGGGCGGAAAATCCTGCTCTATGTGGGAATCAGGATGGCCAATTGCACTATTTTGGACATGTTTTGATATCATTAATCCTCCCCAAAAATCCCATGGACTGTGTCATTTTTTTGCTTTTTCCAGTTCTGTTCATCATAAAACACAGATGTCCTCAATAGTCAAATTCAAACATTTTTGCCCCCCCCCCCCCAAAGTAGAAGCCTGACTCAAATTCAAAAGTTGTTCCCATCAAAATCTGGGAAGCATTACTACCTAGATTGTGGCGAATGAGACAGGACATCCTGTTTTGGAACTTGCACCAGGATTTCTGTATGTTCTAGATTTTGACAAGGGATAGCATTCAGTCAGCTGAAATTGGTTCATATGACCCTTTGTTCTGTAAAGATTTCCCCAGCTGCAGCTGGCAAAAATTGGCATGTGCTCAGAACAGAGATGTAGGAGATGCATATCCCTTGTCCACTGTCATGCTGCATGAATATGATGTAGTCTGAGGGGCTTTTCATTGTTTTTGCCATCACTATCACAGTCCTCTCTGTGCCTCTGCAACTGCAGTCGATCATCATCTCAATCATGCCTGTTTTTTGGCACTTTCAAGGCTTTGTTGGTTTGCATACAGGATCTATTGAGGCATCTGAAGCAGACATTGGGGGAGGCAAATCAGCAAGTTCTCTCAAAAGGCATGTTTAAAACACCATGCATGTGGGCCTTCTGATTTGGCCTCTCAACATTGGGCAGTCTAAAGATATGATGGGGCCGCACACAGGGCAATGTGCTTAAATGGGTGTCATTTCGGGTCACATTGCAACTGGCAGGGCATTTAGGTCAGGGCATGTCATTGCACCATGATGCAGCTTGAACCAAATGCCACACCTGGTGTTCCAAAATTGATCCAGTGGGGTGTTCAGGATCTAGATATGAAGTCATGTAGCTGGAATTCTGGCTCTCCAGCAGTCTTTGGATGTGATTTGTTGGTGCCTTTCTGCTGCTGTTACTCTTTGGTGCTGGGTTTTGCTGACTAGAAGCTTCATGGTTGGTATGTCACATGTTCATTCTAGTTGTGTAGAGTATGGGAAACATATTCACTCTAAATAAAGCTGGATTTCTGAGTTTTCTTTTGTGTCTATAATTGATGTGTTCTCTCATTTGAACAACTGTGTGTCCTTGGTTGGCAAGTCCCTAGTCATGTGTGTGGATGGTTGAGGTCTTAGTTCCTTCTTTTTAGCTGGCAATCCAGTTCACCTTTAAGAGCATGGCAGGTCCCTGTGCGTCATATGGTGCTAGTCATGCCGGTGCAGTTTTCCGGAACTGTTAGCTTAGTCATCACTTTTTTGCCCATTTAACAGGAATTATTTTTTATTTTATGCCTATGCCTATGCAGTCTTTTTAACATGGATTGGTCATGGCTCACACATTGCTAAAAATAAGCTTCTCTGAGTTCAATCTTTTCCATGTTCCTTCAAGCAGCTTCTTTGTTACATGCATTACTCTCTGTTGTCACATGCAATATCCCATAAACATGTGACTCATCAACATGCCAACCATCTGGCACTGACCATGTTGTTGTTTCTAGCCTCAGCATGGTGAAGGAACAGTACCGGGAGACAGACTCCATCCGTAAAATGTGAGTGGCATTGGCATGGTGGTGTTGTGCATTATGTGCTCTAACAAGACTGTTGCACTTAGCTTTGTTTGCATGTCTTATCTGCAGGCAATGAGACTGCCGCACTTCTTGTTGTTGTGCACCTAAGCCATTTTGTGGAAATCTAATATATCTTTTGCTGGAAGAATGTGAGGATTTTTTGGGCACCTGGTGGGCTATGTGTAAACATGCATAATCTGACAATGACACCCATTGAGAAACCAGTATGATTGTGAGGATCTGTGCTAGTGAAGCAAGCTGCACTTTAACTGTGATGGATATTTTTAGTTTAGCTTTTCAGCCTGGTTCAGTCACATTAAAAGAGGCTTGTGTATGTACAACGACCAACTGCCAATTCATGCAGTGTTCAGCGAGAAGAGGCGCACTTTTACAAAAGCTTTGCCCTATAAGTTTTGTGTTACCTGTATGCAAGCTGTGTCATGAGACATTTTCTTCTTTTTTTTGGTGGGGGTCGCCTGTCCACGGAGTCACCCGCCTGTGGCAGTGTGTGTCTGAGGCGATTCAGGCACTTGCTACTTTGCAGCTGTGATAAGCTAAATGCTGTGATGAAAGTAAGGGCTGGGAGGTCCCTCCATATCGTGATAATGGTCAGGATGCGCTGCGTCGCGTGTTGCTGCTGTCATGAATTGAACACTGGCGAAAACAAGGGTGGGGAAAATTTCCGACGGCGGGCATCGAGCCCGAGACCTCTCGACCGGAGACCAGCGTCCTGACACGACGGCTATCGTCCGCAGCTCGGACATCAGCTTCTGCATCCAGACGCCGCAGCAGGTGCAGCAGCAGGGCCTGGTGCACGTGGTGGCCAAGAACCTGTACAACCAGGACCCTGGCCGCACTCCCGTGCAGCATGGCGTACTGGACCGGCGCATGGTCAGTGGCGCCGCCTAGCGGCGGGCGCGCGCCCAGGCAGCGTTTCCGGGGGGCAGCCGGCGCGCGGCTGGGGAGCTGTCTGGCTTGGAGGGGTTTTGATGATCGGAGCTCGGGGATTTGTGCGACCGGCCCTGAAAGCACAATTGGTACTGCGAGCGATTATCACAATGTCACATAAAGCACAATGGGACTGTGCTATATGTGATAAAACAGGTGGTCAGGGACCATTTTCAGAAAAAATGAACGTTACTGTGGTGACTATACCCGGACCAAAATAACGTGCAGATAAATTATATAATTCGGATCCTGCCAATTTTGGCACCCTGGCACCTTGGCACGTGCCTGTGTGGCACTCATGACGCAAACTGGCCTGCTCTGGCACGCGGCTGATGTAAGAAACGGCAGGCGAGCGACAAGCGCACAGATCGACCGCTATTGTGCGACGCGCGACGACACGATGCGGTGCGATCGCCCGACGCGAGCCGCGTCTGGCCGGTGTTCCAGGGCACGAGCTCCAAGGAGAACAACTGCACCACGTGCGGGAAGACGCTGGCCGACTGCGTGGGCCACTTCGGCTACGTCGACCTGGAGCTTCCCGTCTTCCACATCGGCTACTTCGGCGCCACTGTGGCCATCCTGCAGAGCATATGCAAGGTGAGGGGCGGCTGAGGTCTGCCGTGGGTGCGCTAAGGGATCGACAATTGATGCGGGGTAAGGGACGCCACGGAACACGCACGGGGAAGCGAACTGGCAGGTATTTGAGGACGTGATGTGAGCGTTTAGACGTCGTGACGTGCTGAAAAGGCCCAGAAACTGATGTGGCCGTGTGGAACGCATGAAGGAGTCCATACAGTCCGTTGGGTGACTGCGATGCTGCTCCTGCTGTGAAGATGTCCAGCTTTTGTCATGTGTCATGGAAAGCTTTACTGGCCAATACGCGTCAATCATGTCTTTATCTGAACTTAGCACAAGTCTAATTTCTGGTCAATTTACTAGTGATTAAATTATATGTTCTTTTGTCCTCTGACTATCGCAGGCAGACCTGACCTGTCTGGGTTTGAGGTGGCGCGCTGTGGACATGTGCGGGCCTGACATGATGTGGGTTAGGCAGTTACGACCTTGTCTGACGCCCAGTGTAACGGAAGTCGTACTCGATGTGGCCGAAGGTGGTCCGACTTGTATGGAAATGACCTAGCCTGACCTGACTGGACATACCAGCGACGTACTGCGGACGTGACGTATGACACACGCTCAGACCTGACCTGACCTGGTCTGACCTGGCCTGCTGCAGATCTAACCTGACCTGCCACAGAGCCAACCTGACCTGCTGCAAATCTGACCTGACATGCCACAGACCTGACCTGGCCTGCTGCAAACCTGACCTGAACTTCTACAGACCTGACCTGAACTGCTGCAGACCTGACCTGACCTGGTCTGCTGTAAACCTGACTTGACCTACTGCAGACATGACCTGACCTGCAGATCTGACCTGGCCTGCGTCACACCTGACCTGACCTGCCACAGACTTGATCTGACCTGCCACATACTTAACCTGACCTGCCATAGACCTGACCTGACCTGACGTGCCACAGACCTGCTCGTCTGTCTTGCTGCCGGACGCCGAGAAAGTCACCTTCTTGCAAAAAGTCCGCAACCCCAACCTGTCGTACCTCGCGAAGAAGGCCATGAGAAAGAAGATTCTGGAACGGTGCAAGAAATTCGCCAAGTAAGTCGTCTGCTGTGTGAGAAACATTGCTGATCAGAATGACGGCACAAACATCAGGCACCAGACATCAGATTATCTAGGATCATTTGTTGGGGTGAAGGGGATAGTTGTCATACCCAGCTTTACTTTGAGTCATGTAACCACCCATATTATGCCCCGCTGTCGGTCCTGAAGGGGTGCTCGCGCAGTTCCAAGATAATCGTTCACCGTTGCCTATGCTGGGCGAGGCCCTACGGGCCAAGGGCTTCACGCGGATGGTAAAGTTGTTCGGGCGTTCACAGTCGTCCAGTGTGCTGGTATGTGCGAGGCGGTTCGTACAGCTCAGCCTCGGACTACGTGAGGGATTGTGGATTCCTGATAGAGACTGGATTGTGGGAAGGGACAGTAAGCCCCGTTGGTAGGGCGCGGAACTCGTTCTCGAGCTCGTGCTCGGCCCGAGTCCCAGCAATTTCAGGGGGATGAGCTGGGATCATGCCGTGTCCGTACAAACGCGCCAACTGAAAACGTGCGGCGTACAAACGCGTGACACCGTGCCTCATCGCAGTCCTCCGTGGGTCCAACACTTCCCCAGCGCCGCCGCCGGACGTCTGCTGCGGTGGCTGGTGTTGGGACGGATCCCTTAATCTGTAACCATTTAGCGCGCATCACTGCCGTCGTACCTTGCATTCCGCTCGTTTGAAGTCGGCAGCGTTGGGACGGACTGCGATGTGAAGTTCGCCGTTTCGCCGCCAGATGTCCGTCGTGCCAGGCGCTGAACGGAGTGGTCAAGAAGTCTGGCATGCTGAAGATCAGCCACGACCTGTTCCGCAAGGTCAAGAAGGACGACCCCATGATGCAGCTGTATATAGGTGGGTGTGATGAGGAGGGGGGGGGGGGGGGGGGGGCGCAGGGTGGTGGCTCGGTGGGTTCAACAGCCAACATGACTTTTTCTCGGTGGACATGGTTGGTACATGGTGTGGTCTTTTTAGTTTGCAGGCGGCGTTTTATACATTCAGCTCTGTGTAAATTGGATAGGGCAAAGGGATGCTAGTCGCTAGTTTGTTTTTAAATAGCGCTCCATCGATTTTATGTATTCAAAAGATACAAAAATTACTGTTTCTTCCAGCAACGAAGGCGGCAGTAACCTCCTCAGCCTATTAATAACGATAAACTCATTTCGTTTTCTCCGCATTTTTAGGTCACTTCGCTCCGCATGGGACGTGACTGAGGCTGGCTGTATGTTTGTGAGCCTGAACAGCTGCGACGTTTTCGAACCTTGTTTTTCCACACCCAATATTACCGGAGCAAGAAAAATGGCATCGTCGGTGTTAGGATTCACAGTGTCCCGACCTCTTCGCCTGGTGGTACCCCGTCCATGCACATGGCGTTTTCAAGTATTTGAGCGTGAGATCATGACTTAATTCACAACTTTCCCGTAACGCCCGCCACGCCGTCCGCTTTCTTCCGGCAGAGGAGTTCAAATCAGTGTTCGAGACGAACCGGGAGCTGGAATCGCGCGTGTCGCCGGGCGTGCCGCTCAACCTGAGTCCTCTCGACGTGCTGCGACTCTTCGAGAGGATACCGGAGAGCGACATCCCGCTGCTGCTCATGTCAGGTGAGGCGGAGTACGGCTCTGGAGAGGATACCGGGGAGCGACATCCCGCTGCTGGTGATGTCAGGTGAGGTGGAGCACGGTTCTGGAGAGGATACCGCAGAGCGACATCCCGCTGCTGCTCATGTCGGGTGAGACGGAACACGTCTCTGGAGAGGATACCGCAGAGCGAAATCCCGCTGCTGCTCATGTCAGGTGAGGCGGAGTACGGCTGTCGAGGGGATACCGTAGAGCGACATTCCGCTGCTGGTGATGTCAGGTAAGACGGAGCACGGCTCTGGAGAGGATACCGGAGAGTGACATCCCGCTGCTGGTGATGTCAGGTGAGGCGGAGCACGGCTCTGGAGAGGATCCTGGAGAGGGACATCTGCTGCTGGTGATGTCAGGTGAGGCGGGGCACGGCTCTGGAGAGGATGCCGGAGAGCGACATCCCGCTGTTGCTTATGTCAGGCGAGGCACCGCCTTGTGGTGTCGCGGTACTCTGGAAATCTTCAGAAAGCGCACTGTCTGTTTCCCGCGAGCTGCTCGCAACCAATCGATGAAACGCGCTTGTCAAGTGGTCGGGCGATCAAACTCAGCACGTGTGCCCAAACTCACATCTGTGGAAGAAAGCCGGCGTTTTCCGCCGGCGTGGAAGCACCGCCATGACTGTCGAGACCGCGCCCCAGCGGGCGTCGGTGGCGTCCCGCCGGCGCCCTCCCGGTGACCCGGCCGGCAGCTGGTCTTGCCGCCGCCGCCGCCGCCGTTGACCGGTCGCTCCGTTGGCAGGCTCGCTGAGCCGGCCCACCGAGCTGCTGCTGACCCGTATCCCGGTGCCGCCGCTCTGCATCCGACCCTCGGTGGTGTCCGACCTGAAGGCCGGCACGTGAGTGGCGCCCGGCGGCGGGAGGAGAGAGAGGCAGGGGGCGCTTCCACCTCTGGGTGGTCACGCGGGGCTCGCGCAGCGGCCGTGTGCAGCTGACGGTCGCCTGGGTGCGAGGCGGGGATGCCAGAAGCCCTGACCCGTACGTCGGTTCTTGTGGGATCCGAGATGCTGCCTGGGGTCCAGGCGCCGTCGCGCCTTTCAAAGCGTGGCTCAGGGCTACAATGGGCTGGAGCGAGCCTCCTGCATGCGGCTGCCTGCCTGTCGCCCTGGTCGCCGTGTCGGCATGTGCCCCTGCGCTCGCGTTTAGCCCGTTCTGACCCGTCCCCCGCCGCCTGGGGTTCACTGCCAGAGCCGTGTTGCCGCCGCCGTCCCTGGCCACGCCTTTGAACCGAGTCATAGTCGGAGTCGACCCCGGTGACTCCGCGCCGAGCAGTGGATCGCTCGCCCTTGTGATCTTGAGCGACCGCTGACCCAACAGCATGACCTCAAGAGACTCCTGACCCGATGGTGTGACCTCGAGTGACCCTTGGCCCGACGGCGCGACCTCAAGTGACTCCCGGCCCTATGGCGTGACCTCGAGCGACCCCTGACCCTACGGCATGACCTAGAGCGACCCATAACCCGATGACGCGACTCCAAGTGACCCCTGACCCCATGGCGTAACCTCGAGTGACCCCTGACCCGACTGCCGACCTCCGCAGGAACGAGGACGACCTCACCATGAAGCTGACCGAGATCGTGTTCCTGAACGACGTCATCAGCAAGCACCGCGAGTCGGGCGCCAAGGTACAGATGATCCAGGAGGACTGGGAGTTCCTGCAGCTGCAGTGCGCGCTCTACATCAACGGCGAGATGTCCGGCATTCCGCTCAACATGCAGGTACGGAGTGACGCTCCGCCCAACGTGCACGAGATGACGGTATGCCAGTCCTTGTAGTCTGCAAGCGCGCATGATTGGGGTGACTGTATGTCCGGTGGTGCGGCGCGCGGATGATTGGGGTGACTGTATGCCCGGTCGCGCGGCGTGCGTATGCGGGCCGCTTGCACGCCCAGCAGCTGCTGCACGCGCATGGCTGTCGTTGAGCGGGCGGTAGCGTGGCCAGTCTAAGAGCGGGCTGGTGTGGGGATGAGGTGGGGGGGGGGGGGGAGGTGTGCGCCTACTACATGCCCCCTCTCCCCCCCCCCCCCCCCAGGCGCATGCAGTCCTGTCCCGCCGGTATCCATTCTCCTTCATGCTATAGCCCCGAAATGATCATACCCGGGCGAAAGGGCTCTAACCCAAACAAACCAAATCATGATCGAAATTTCCGCAGCCTGCTCAACATAGATTGAGAGCCGATTTACGTCCACTGTATTTAGAAATCGTGCTCACGGATGTCAGATCTGACCGGTTTAACGAAAGTTATTTTCCTGGCCTTGAGCGGCGCATGGCCTGTGCAGGGCAGAATTTG